TTACCATGTAGCAACAGACTGCTGGTGTAACTGTAGAACATGTCAGTTTATTTAAAGACCGCAGAAGGGTGCTGCAGCCCTGTGCAAGTTTCATTTAGCAATGTAATGTGCATTACTGCACCATAATATGGACATTATTCAGTTGTTTTACCGACATTACTGTGGTCTGGATTTGTATATAGTTGAAAAGTTTTGAAATTAACTGTAGTTGTGTATTCAAAAAATAAAATACCTATGCTTGGAAAATGACTTTGGTTCCTAAATGAACTGACAGCACCATGTTACTTTGTACCTTTTACTTCATATGCATCATTGCTCCCGCACCTTAGACACACATACACATGGTGTCTCAATCTCAGCTCTATAATGTAATTTAACTGAGCCTCTGATCATTCTGAAGATAAGAATCACTCAAGTTGTGCTCCAACCCCAGATGAGGCGCCAGAAACCGTCCCTGCCGCCACCATCCAGGACGTGAGCTCTCAACGCCCACGGCTGACTCATCACAGCAACAAAGGCTCTCACATCTTTCACTTAAGCCAAGACCAAGTTTAGTTTTAGTTTTTCTTTTATAGATAGGTCTCAGGACCTAGTAACTATTATGAATAAACAGCATATTCACATCAATTGAATGCATGTACAGAACATCATTAAATGAGCCATTAAAATAAATATTCGTCTGGCTCTCAAATAATCACACCAGCTGACCCCTGAGTACAATAAATAAATGATAGTGTACATACAATCCTAGTGGCTGTCAGGATCACATGTCTGTGATTTAAATGTTTATAGATCATTGATGCAATAAAATGTGGACCCACCAATTTGCATGAGCCAGGCTAGACGTGAAATAAAATACTGCTTATACCCAAAATAAACCACTAGAGGGCAACAAAAAAAACTTTAACAAAATAATTAAGAATTTGAAAACATGAACAATTTCTATTTTCACCAAAACATAGATAAAATGAACAATACACAAACTCTCAAGCTTGTGACTTGTTCATATGTTTGTTTGTTGCTGCAGAAACTCCGTCACCTCACTTTGCTGATACAAGATGGAAATGTATGCATGGAAAATGTCAACAGTACTCATGCACATCTATGTGTTGCTGTTAAATGGAGGAGGCTATCAGTATTAGCACAAGGATATTATGTTAGTATACCACCCCAACATAACACTTTCAGTAAAATATTAAAATGGTAGTATTTAATATTAGTGCATAATGTAGGTATGTCAGTATAGCTTTATTGGTATACTAGTCCTAGTGGTACTAGTCAGAATAATTTCAGCTAGACAGTAGCTACAGCAGGTTGGGAATCACAGGGCCAACATTTATCATTTTAGTTTTTGTTTCATTAACCCAGAATAATATCTGACTTGTGGTTAGTCTCCGAGTATCAAACAAAAAAAAAGAGTAAATTATCAGATTATATGTGTCAATGGTACCTGTGTAAGTGTTAGTTTACTTATTTACAACAAATTTAATGTTAAATAATAATAAATAAAGCCCTGCTCAAAATGACTTTGTGGAGTCAAATGAAGGACAGTTCCTAGAAGCACCTGCTCACATTTAGCTTTCTTTTGTTTCTCTGTACTTCACTCCTAAATAGCCTTTCAAAGTATGTAGTCATAATTTCATGATGCTTTCAGCCACAAGTCCATACTGGGACCCCACATTACAAAAGCACACCAGTACATTTGTTAAGAGAATTGCAGATCCATCACACGCAGGTCACATTGCCAACAGAAACTCATCTGATAAACCAGAGTACTGATAAATCATGAATAACATTGATCCTCCCATGCACGTCCTACAAGGGAAATTTTATAGTAAGTTTGGTTTGGAAATCTTTGCAATTTTCTTGTTCCTTTACTTTCTTATTAAAAGAAATGCCATAACGACAGCACTAGGGCAAATCAGCTTGGTTCCCATTATTTCTTCCCCCTCATTTATTTGTTGCATTATGCAACATAATTATTTTGACCTGTGATTGATTATTGAGCCTTCTGCGCCATACTTGTGATGTGCAGCTACATAAATAAATGATCTTGAACGTGTCACTTGTTTTTGAGTCAAACTTCACCTTTTGGAAATTAGGCTGCTCACTGCTATGCAACAGAGCTGACTGAGAACTAAAGCTGGCTTTTGTTTTGGAGAGCTTCATTGGAAATAAATGGGAACAGAGGAAGTGCTATTGGGCGAAAGAATGCTGAATGATTATAAAAAGAATGAAAGAACTAATGCAACTCAGCTCAACTCATGAAAACAGGCAGAGTGACTTCTCAGACGTTTTGTTAAAAGGATATAGTAAATGCCTACTGTGTGTGAAACAGTGCAGTGAAGTTTTAAATTTTACTATTATTTCACTAATATGTCTTCATAAGTTGGACTTACTTAAAGTTTTAGGTGGCACATTGCTTACATGCTTAGAATGTGAGACACCATCTTTTCTTTAATCATATTTAAACGTGGATCAAATGAGTAATGAGAAAGTGGTGAACCTACAGACAATTATGACTTTGCATTTCAGCGTCTTTCACCTCATTGTTTTTGTTGTACGCCATGCAGTTTTACTGTTCTGGTCTCAAGTCAAAGTGTAGCTTGCAGCTGGCAGCTATTTTCTGGGTTTCAATAAATCCCACTGTTTGTTACCTGCTCAGCACCAAACAGCACTTTGTTCACAAGTGGCATGTGAACAGAGTGGAGCATTTAGCAGAGACAGATATTCCTCTTGTGACTGTTAGGACTATTATATTTCAGTAGCTACTGGACTCAAAAGCAGAACTCAAGGCAATTGATGAAAACAAAGCATAGGCATTTATTTCAGGAGTGGTGAATGAAATTGTGAGCGAGGGAGAACGAGATTGAACTGGGCAGGCGGCAGGCAGACAGACAGACAGGCAGGCAAGTGGAATTCAGGAAGGAATTAATTAACCTGAGACACAACAAAAATAAAGTGAAACAAACTTTGGCCATATAGCGTTGGTACCACACTGGCAAACTGAATTATCCAGGAAAGAATAGATTGAAGAGCCAGGGTTGATAAACTGCAGTATACACACACACACACACACACACACACACACACACACACACACACACACAGGATTCTTTGCAGACAACTGCAGCGCCACTTTATTACTCCAGTTATGACATTTCAAAATCTATGATCAGCTATATAATCTATCATTGATCAGTCACATCTATTCGCCTATATATTTTGTATGTGAGAAGCATATTTTACAAATACAATTTTAATGGTGTCAAACTGCTTGAGCATCTCATTCTGAAACCACTTCTCTTTACTCCACTGTGCATCTAGTACAGCTGTGCTCCACTTAGAAGGCTTCTTACTCATATGATGCATGGAGAGAGATGATACTATCACACGGTTTGTTTTTGAAGAATAGTTATGCTGATTTATTACCAGAACCCACATCAGCATTTCCTTGACCTACATTGTTTAACGTGGGTTGGCAGCGTGTGTAGGTGTAGTTACTATATAAATGTGCTTTATATGACTCGGATAAAAAAGTATGAATTATTTAGAGAGTGATTAGTCTCTGTTGGAATAATGTAACAAAATGATGACAACAGTTTGTTATACTTTACTGTTGGAAGATTCCCATGGGGTTGAATGCGCTGTATAGATACTCTATGTTAATCTTTGTTTCATTTGGGCTGGGTAGAGAAAAAATCCCCTCTGGTTTGGTTTGGACACTGAAAGAACATTCACATCCATCTTCAAGTCAAAGATTTTCACATCCGTGCTTTTTTCCCCTTTTAGCTCAGAAAGGCCTCTTTGCCAGACTGAGTTTTGCTGTTTTCACAGCCACATCAAAAAGATCTGTCGGTGAACAAACACGTTCACACCTTAAGACAGGATGCAACGTGTCAGACATATGAAGGTGTCACATGGCTCATCCCACTTTGAAATTTCACACGGGAATTATTACTGTTTTATGTGTTGTGAGTAAAAAGAGCTACGCTTTAAAGTAATCTCAAAGATTTTCATTTAAGTACATGTTGGAGAAGTTACTATCCATTGCAAAATGAGGTCATACAATGCTGGAATGCATGAGACCACTGATGAAAGTATTGCAATATTTATACAATTGCACTATTACAAACTGGGGGTCTGGGGTGAAAATGCTGTATTAAGTTACTGCTAATGCAAACTGATCATTTCCTACTGCTACAGCTTCACATTACAGGCATTTAACTGGTGAAACACCATTCATTTTAATTATGAGGTACAGGAAATGTAGTGTCATCAGTGAGCTTAGAACTGACCACTATAGTTCATCTAAAATGTGTTTACAGTACAAGACAACGCTAATCTGCGTTGTCTTGTACAATTCTCTAAGGGAGCGATGGAACAAGAAGAAGCAGCCACACTGAGCTGTTAGATGAAGAACCTCCAGCCTCCTCCAACTTCTGAGCGACTACTTTCAGAGTGCCCTGCTGTTCACAGACTTGTGCAGCATGAAATCTGATCACGTTTGCTCACAGAATGATTTTGGCCAATTGACCTCTTTATTAAAAGAACAATAGTTTGTTTTTCTGCCCCCTGTGGAGCCCCTAAGGTCCCTTAAGGTGATATTTTTTATCCTTTGCGAACAAGTTATCATGTTGTAGGAATAAGTTATTATCTAAGATAAAAAAAAAAAATCACCTGTCGGGACTTTAGGGGCTCAGTAGCCACCAGATTTCTGTGAATTATTTACTTTTACCATCAGTAACTAACAGAGTCACCAAATCAGCCAGGACTGAAATCCATACCTTCAACTTACAAAGAGACTTTGAAGAACAGTCTGTTTACCATGCAGATTAAAGACAAAGCACTAAATATAGTTACTGCCATTTGTATTTGAATGACAATGACAATGACAAATTTGCAGACATAGATGACCACGAAGAAATCAGAGCAGCATGTGTATCTTTAAAAACTGTGACAGTCATAGCGGAAATGGATTGCAGATCCAGCACACACCAACACCTTCTGCCTGCATATAAACACAGCAAGAATGTAGACATGAGAAGACCACAGAGAAGCTTTCACAGTTTAAGTTGGGTTCCGCAAGTGGGAAGACACGGTCATGCTGCTGGTGAGTTGGGCTGCTGTGCTCATCTTAAACTCCTGTGATTGATCATGAGATGACTTTTTTAAAGGGTGCATCAGTAAATCAGTACATTTCACATTATGTCTGAAATGTACTGATCTCAGGAATTTGTGGTTGACTGCTTTCCACTTAATCATTAAACTGGAAATCCATCCAAACAAGACATGGCTACAGAGACGATAAAGGATAAAAGTAAATGAAGCATTTTCTTTTGCAGTTTGTTTTTTTCTCCATCCTCCGAATTCTCTGTGTTCAGGTGCTGAGATTTTTGCTGGTGCTGGGCCTGGCCACGCTGTTGGATGCCACCAGGGAAAACCAGGCAGTCTCGGTGAAGTTTAAACAGGGAACCAGACTGAAGGGCAAGACAGTGAGACTGGTCCTGGATCCCTCAGTGCAAACTCAGATCAACAGCATGTCTTCGTCAAACATCCCCAACATGTCTATCTCTCCCTGGACGTACAGGTGAGGTATCACGGGGGGGACCTTTTTCTTTCATTGCTTTATCTACTTGGTGCCACAAACCACCAGTTTGACACATGTTGGGTCATTCAGTTATCTGTTTAGAACTTTTGGAATGCCAATTATAGATGTGTTTTCCCCCAACTGTCCTTCTCCAGAGACACTTGTGAGGCAAATAGGCTGCCTAGGCGGATCTCTGAGGCTCACTGCCTGACCTCTGGTTGTCTGAGTCCGCAGGGTGGAGGAGAAGATGCAGGCCTGGAGGCCAAACCTATCTACTACCAGGTCCTGGTCCTCCACAGGTGAGCCACTGCAGTCTTTCTAAAAACATCTTATTGTGCAGTTACTTCTGCTTTTATTTCTAATACAAGTTACAGTGTTACAATCGATCATATGTGTGTGCTTAAAACGTTTTTTGAGATTGGTCTCCAGTCTACCTAACTCTGAAAGTAAAACGTAATTTAAGATGCATTTTCCCTTCTTCATCTTATAGTTTTCCTTTTAAAAAAAAAAAAACTGCCAGGGTGTGACATGAATCAGTGCAGGCATCAGTCACAGCAGCTTTCATGTGCAGGGGTGGGACAAAGTGCTTTACAGAGGAATAAACATATAGTAAGGAAAAAAGATTTACTATAAAAAAGGGCAAAAGTGCTAACAAGATAAAAAAAACATCGCCATCCAAATGAAGGCTAAGCTTTTTAGAGCCATTATAGGGTGGAACAGGCAGCGCAAAATAGAAAAGTGCTTAGCTTTGATTTAGAAGTGGTCAGAGTCAGGGCTTGTCATGTCATCTGGGAGGTTATTCCTGGCCTGTGTTGCATGATGTTTTGTTCAAACTACTGGGACAGCCAGTAGGCAAGTGCCAGATGACATCCGGCACAAAGCATGTCAGAGGTAGCACAGAGCCACGGGGTGATTTGTAGACAAACGGCAAGATTTTGAAATCAATTCTCTGAGTGACTGGTTGCCATTCAGTGTAAACTAATGGCATATCAGGTTGGGAAACAATTAGGCAGTTATATTTAATGTTGGAGGCAAAGGCACATAAAAAGTTTGTTTTGGGATTTATTCAATGAGTAAGTGTACATTATGAGATGAATTTTTGATAAATCAGTTGGAAAACATCATTTTGATTGTGGCTTGAAGTAGTGGGAATATGAAAACCAAAAGTATTCTTGTGTTTATTATCCAGTGTCATTGAGGTTCTGCACAGCCTCAAGACTTCAAACTGAAATATTCTGGAACACTTTGCGAGACAAAAACCTTGTGACATTGCTGAATTCAGAATGACAACGGGTTTGGCATTTTTAACAGATGTTGGGTTCACTGTATTGAACTTAATGAAAACACACTGATTGAATTTGACTTTTGCTTTTTTCTTTCCTGTCCACTCCTGTCATGTCCACTACAGTCCAATTTTACTTTAATTTACTACTATAATCTCAGAATGACATCATCTGCGTCTATTCAACCCTCACTTATTTCCCCACCCCACTCCAGAGTCCCAAAGCAAAGGCTCAATACCAAAGGAGGGAGGAAGGCTAGGAAGACGTATGACTTCAGACTGGGGACTAAGATGATCTCAGTGGGCTGTACCTGTGTGAGGCCCAGTGTCTTACCACAGCAATAACACACAGAAGATCGGATGTTAGCAGCTCTTTCAGCACACTGCAAATATTTTTTTTTATCACTTTCTAACTTAAACCCGTATTAAGTAATATCTTTAAGTTATAACTGAATCAAATCACTCTGGTTAATGTGAAAGGGCCATTTTTTGTTTGTTGTGACTAAATAGTGCTAGCATTTCCAGGCCTGTGAGCTTACCGCATCAACCAGCCCTGTGTTGTTGTTTTTTTAACAAGCATTCAGCATCCGTACAGTTGTATTTTTAGAATTATAGTTCTTATCTTATTTTGTTCAATTATTCAATTCAACACATTTACTATAAATGAGTTTCTCAGGACAACTGAGCGATAAAATGGATGTTTTTGGGAACATATATTTGTATATGCTATGGTACAATTGTGTTTTTGGGCGTGTATGTTTTTATATTTTGTCTTATTTTATATTTCTTTTGATTTTGATTGATTGATGGTTGTTTTAACTCACATTTCATAACCCTGGTCTTATTTTACTGTAAACAATATCAACATGGTTTATTAAAGTTTTTATCCCAACTTTGATGTGTTGATTTGACAAATTATAATCACTGATGGCGACTCAGATGAGTGGTGGCTGAACAGTAAGAAAATGGATGTGAAACTGAAAAAGTAAGGGGGAGATACCCCCTATTCCCTGTGCTGACTACGCTTTTGTGTGTGTGTGTGTGTGTGTGTGTGTGTGTGTGTGTGTGAGAAGGGACAAGAGCAAGAGCAAAAGTGTGAGTTCAGTCAAGCAGTTTTTACTAACCATGCCAAATACAATCAATCCAGCCTTGAAGATATACAGCGACACACAGTTACAGCAAGTACAAACCCCATGGTATGACTCCCCAGGTACAGTGAAAACATTTTAGACATTTCAATCAAGTCAGTATGACTCAACAACTTGAGCAAGGTTCATCTTTCTGTTTCCTTTGAAAATAAACGGACAATCAGAGCACAGTGACACAAGCCAAAGCAAAGTGAGGCTGCTGGTTGGCCAGGAAACCCCACAAACTGATCCTTTCAAAACCAAATGTGTCCAAATTCTAAACTTTTGTCACCAACTACTATTCTTTCTTGTGATGTTATTGTTATTTATACTGTATAAATTGACTGTCCTTCATTTAAGCCTATGTGCTTTTGAGTTGTGCTTAATGAAATAAGAGTGCAATCAGTGCTCTAAATCTAAGAGACTCAAATGCATGTCACTGATCTACAACTACACTACAGTTAAAGTTACATCAAGAGCCAGAAAGTGGCCGAATAGAGTAGAGCGTCTTCCTGTTTCAAGCTTTTTTTTTTTCTTTGACTCCCCTAGAGCACTGTACAAAAGGCTGATGCTTTGTTTAATATTCATAAACCATATTGTGAGATTCACTGAGTTTAGCGCACGCAGGCGTCCCCAGACAGACCGAACAACCCCAAAAACGGTGCAGCGAAGAATTAGCATGAGAGCGGGAGACCTTGGGAAATCAAGTTTTATTTTTGATTCGGAAACAGCACAAGCTTGCGTGTTATGTCATGTTCATGTTTGTTGACTGGTAAGTAGGCTATACAGTATATCAAAGACTGAAGAAACTTGGGCCTTTTAGCTTTGACTTTAGTGGCTGTGGGCTCTAGGGCTCCTCAACTACACCTGCTGGGTCCACTTCTTCTCACGCACATCACACCTTTCATATTGTTTTACTTGGTACCAATTTAGATCCTCTCCCTACTCCACAGTCTAATTGTAAAGAAACAGAGTCACTGGCTGTGTTGCCGCCAAATTGGTAGCATTTGGTGACAATTTCTGATTCAAAGCATTGCCAACACCAAGTAAACACAGCTCAGTTACCGATGCTTAAAAACCAGGCAGTCAAGTAGGGGTTCCTGCTTTCTGACTGAAGAGACTGCAGAAAAGAGAGAGCTGTGATTTAAATGTTTACCCCCTCCAGCCTTGATGCAGCTTGCATTCACCAAACGTTGTCACTCCTCTTTTTAAAAAAAAATTGTTTAGATGCAAACACCCCCACCCTCCCCACTTTCCTCTAGAAAAAAAGAAAAAGATTTCTTTTTGAATTTCAACATCAAGAGCTGTTGAGCTGTTTGTACAGCTTGTTCAGAATCATTACAGCATACATCAAATATGGAAACACAGCTTTTCCCTGTGTTCAAGTTGCTTCTGAGTTCTTTTTTTCTTTCCTGCATTGTTTTGATTTCCCTTTTTTTTTTTTTTTACCACCTCAAAAAACTCCCAGTCCTGCTTGTTCTCTTTCTTCTTGCCTGGCTCCACTCGTTTACCGGCAGGCTTCCTCCTTCATCTCCTTGTTCTTCCTCACTTCTTCCGCGTGTTTGTCCTGCCAGACAAACACAGAGACATAGCAACATTAGAGTCATTAGCATTCATGAATATATTAGCATTAATGAGGGAGATGCCAGGAGAACAAGGCATCGGCACCGCGACTGTTCATAAAGATTTGAACAGGGGAGTGATACAGAGTGTGGAGTACCAAAAACTCTTTTCCACCTCATATAATATTCATGATTACTAATCTAGCTTGTGAACAATGTTAAAATAGAAATGCAAGCCAAGATCTTGATTCTGAGGGCTCGCCTCATTTGCACTCAAGGAAACATTCAATTTTAGGTCTTAATAAAACAAAGCTGATTACATGAAACGTTAGACATTTTGGAAATTACGCTTATTTACTTTCCTGCGGAGTTAGGTGAGATTAATAACTCTCTCATGTCTGTATGGTAAATATGTAGCTGAAGAGGTAAAAATGAAAATTCACTGTTTTATGTGCTGGACTATTTCTTGGCTGCGACACGTAATCTCCTGGAGTCTCTGCTGGTGGTATGGCAACTGCTTGTGCCAAAGAAATTATGTTTTTTTCTATAGAAAAAAATAAAATGGTGAGCTTTAGATGTGCTGGTAGGCAGATTTCTTACCTTTGGACAAGTTGTTTCCTTCTGGTTCCAGTATTTATGCCAAACTAAGTTAGCTGGCTGCTGGCATACAAATATGACAGTGGTACCAATCTTTTCATGTAACTTTTAGTATGAAAGCGAGTAAGTGGATTTCCCAAATACATTGAACTATTCCTTTAAATTGATGACACACAACTAAAAGAAATGCACAGGATAGTGCAAAGGAAGAATTTGACATTTTGGGAAATTCTTTTACTTGTTTTCTTTCTGAGAGTTGGATGAGAAGATTGATACCACAATCTAGTTTCTGAGCTAATGAAGCTGGAGCTGTTCTTCCATAGATCTCCTGGTAAGTCTAGACTGAAGCCCTTGCTCTTCTGAGGGACTGTCATGTTACATATTAGACAATGAACCTCTTGTATTTTAAAAGCCATCATAATTTGTCCAGTCTTGCATGAAAATAAGACATGTGAAACAACAAAAGTACCTCAGAAATGAAAGGTGCTGGCCAATAATGTTTTTAGTGCATGTAGAGGGTTTTTCTTAAAGTTTGAGAACACTGTAGAACCATTACAAGCTCCCTGTAGAGGTTAGATATAATCATATCAACAGGCTGCTACCTTCTCCTGCAGCCTCTCCAGCATGGCGGCCAGCAAGGCCTCCCTGTTCTCCTTGTTGGCCTCCATCTTCTGTTCAAGCTTTTCCTTGGCGTTCTTGATGAAGTTGTTGTTCTCCTCGAAGGCCTTCTGGATCACCTCACGCTCGTGCTCCCTCTTCTCGGCCAGGTGCTTCAGCAGCTCAGCCTCCTGGCACTACAGGGAGATAGAGAGCACTGAAGGTAAATGGACAGGCACAAACTGCAAATGATAAAGAAGGTTTTAGCTTCAATGTTGGAGAGGCTGAATAGGCATTAGGGCAATATTAACAGAAAATGGTGAGGAATTAACCATTTTTTGAATTACCACACCACAAATGCACACAGTAGGCATGCCTGTATAGCCCTTTAAAGCCCTTGAAAGCATGGGTTCAAATCTTAAGTATAAATATTCATGACTGAAAGCCAATCTGCATCATCAGGACTGTATGGTGTGATTTTTATCAGAATCTGATTCAAATGTGACAAAATTCTGATTGATGCACAGGCAACCCAGTGAAATGGTGCGGAGAGAAAAAAGACAGAAATCGCTGATGTGAAAGAGGCAGAACTGTTTTGACTTTGGCAGAACCCCATTACTCATAGTAAAGAAGCTGATTAACAAAACATTTTAATTTACAACTTATTATTAAAGTAAACATCAGATGTTGCAGATGAACATTCTGTTTCAGGACACATTCATCGGTTCAGCACCGGCTATAATTTCTCTAATCCTTTCTTCCCTCTCACTGCCATCCTCTTTGCTTGATGAATATGAGCCTTTGTGAGTGTGGCCTTGCATGATTGCCCTTGTACTTTCATGTCTTTTCATCTTCCCGCCTTCCTCTCTGCTCGGGTTTCCTCCCTTCCTTTCCATCAACTCCAACACTCCCTCTCCTTTTATCCATTTCCACCCCTTTTTCTCCTGAGCTGATAAATCAAGCTGACCACAAAGAGCTTTGTCAGATGTTTGGCAATGCCTGAATGAGCTACAAATAGCCAGGGTTAGGGTTACGGGTCAGGGTAGGGCCTGTCCAGTTGGGCTTCTTGAGGATGTGATGCTACAAACACCGAGCCTCCGCCCCTTCTCCTCACCTTCCGTCTCTCCTCAGCAGCCTCCAGCTTCTTCTGGATCTCCTCCAGGGACGGGTCACGGCGCTGCGGCATGGAAGTGTTGAGCTCTGGCACGCCGTCAAAGGATGGGGGCTTGAGGATGACCTCGAAGGCCTGGCCTGATGCCCGCTTGTTCAGCTCAATTACCTCCACGTCTTTGATGGCGCACCAGCCAAGGTCCACCGCATCTGTGGTGTTGTGGCCATGTTTAGAGTATTTATTTACTATGAAATTTTAATAAAGGGGGGAAACACACAGTTATACATCAGCAATACCTGATTTTTGGTGCATTGTGTGGTTTGGGGTTTCCCTACATTCTGTCTACATGTGGTTGAACGAATTCCCAAACATCTCAGAATGACTTGTGTGTATATTGGACGTAATGCAGTGGGCCTATAATATGTATAATATGTATAATTGTTAGTGTGAAAGGGATTTATTTTTTACCTTCTGCCTTGTATGTAGGTTTTTCTGGAGTCTGTGGGTTCAGGCAGGCACAGAAGAGAGACACCAGGGGGAGCTCTTTGACCTTCTCTTTGTAGGCTGAGGACACACACACACACACACACACACACACACACACACACACACACACACATTTGTTCTATTAGGCTTGACATTGCCTTGACTCACTAAATGATGAACAAGCATTAAAAGACTGATGATTCTCCTTTTCAGTGGCAGTGACTAGTCATTGTCATTATGTTATAATAATAATAATAATGACAAGATACATGGTTCAGATAATAAAAATGCACCCTTGTTATTATTCCCATAACGGAATCATAATGTACAGTAAAGGAAAGGGGAGCTGTGAGGTGTACGACTTTCTGCTGTGGCTGCATTTACCTGCCAGAGTCATTTTCTCAC